CCCACCCCCACCCCCCGTCAGTGGGGACTTTACATCAAATGGAGGAGTTTAAGTATTTGGGTGTTGTGTTTACAAATGATGGTACGAGAGAAGAATTGATGGAACGGAGCCCCGCCCTCAGCAATCAGAATGCTACTTTGGATTGTTGTGGTAAAGTGGGAGTTGAGTGTGGTCACGAGGTTTGGACCGTTACTGGAAGGACAAGCTCCCGAACACAAGTGGCTGAAATGAACTTCCTTCTTAAGTCTCAAATTTAAAGATAAGATGAGGAGGTCAGAGTCGAGCTGCTGCTCCTTCATATTGAAAGGAGTCAGTTAAGGTGGCCTAGGCATCTGATTAGGATGCTTCCTGAACGCCTCCTTTTGGCGGGTTCTCAGCCATCTCTCACTAGGAAGAGGCCCTGGGGCAGATAGAGGGATTGTATATCTTTTTAGGCCTGGGCCACCTTGGGATCTGCCAGGTGGAGCTGAACCGTGTCGCTGGAGAGAGGGAGGTTTGGGTTTCTCTCCTGGACCTGTTGCCTCCTAGCCTGGCCATTGCCTTCCTACGCTGTTACGCTCGATTCTAACCTCCCTTCTCTGCTTTGTCTGGGCTTTCTCCCACTGACATGGATATCTCTGGTAGAATTTCAACCGGGCCAATCAGCGAACAGGAGGAGGAGTTGTGAATAACGACGTCAGTTTTCTAACTGTAGCTTAGCAATGGCCGCGAAGCCATTCAATCAGTGCTGACAAGGCTTCCAAATTAAATTAAAATTGTCTTACAAAGCTTGCAGCATTCATTTGCAGCCGTCTTGTTCGGCTTGGTACTTCTCTCCTCTCAGTAGGAGATGTTGTTTACAGCGTGTGTGATTTCCGGTTAGCTTCTTAGCTTAGCTTCCTTCACGATCAAGCAGGCACACTACAAACGTCACAGCCAAACGTTAGCGATTGTGTAAAATCAGATCTAATCACTTTAAACTTTAAAGGGGCTACATTATGTGCTTTCCAAGCCTATATTTCAATTTTATACTAAAATAAAGTAACTATGTCACATTTTCAGCTTATGAAAGAGCTATATATTTGTAAAAATCCCCAAAACAATTTACTTCTTATTTTGACAGTTTCTAAATGCCTTGAAATAGGTCTCTGTCTCTTTAAGAAAATCCAACCACTCTGGTCACGCCCATTTCAGCACGTAGCCTGCCCGAGTCGCGGAGCAGGTGGGAGGAGGGTGTGGGGGACGCTCCGCCGTGAGGAAGCTCGGCTGAAAGACGTCCGAGAGGAGGAGCTTGTCCCAAAAGGACACAACCCAAAGGCATTTCTGGTCCCCACCTGTCGTTTTGCTCCTCAGCATGGCTTCCTAAAAACACTGCAGGATTTCTCAAACATGCATGAATGAGTCAAAGCAAGGCTTTGTGCATGTTTTTTTAATGAAATTATAACATTATAACGTGATTTAAAACTCAAAAAAGTTGATTTCACATGATATTGCCCCTTTAACAGAGTCTACACCTCCAGCAATAAATTGTTTCTCATAAAGCCGAGAGTCCAGACCCTCTGTTTGAAGCAAAGTGTAGAACGAGGGGCTGGTTTTTACAAGTTTAGCTGTCTACACAACCCAACCACAAAAAAGGGGTAAAAGATGGAGGTGAAAGTTTTTTCTCCAACAGCATTTTTAAAAAAAAAAAAGTCAGTAAGACCTTCTAGAATCCAAAGAGTCCACTTCTAACCCAAACTTTATGAGCTGCTATAATTTTTGAGAAAACAAATCAAGATGACTCACCTGGAGCCACAGACGAAAGTTGTCCCTCTTGCGTCCGTTGACAGTGCAGTGAAAAGATGCAGTCTGCCCAGCATTGACCTCCACTCCCTTTATAGTCAGAAAGTGTGGCGTATTCACTGCGAAAACAGGCAAACGTTCATATAATGAGGTTACACGCTGAGAGGAGAAGCTTAGCTTTCTAAAATGAGTTGACATTTTATGATAACTAATTGTCATAATTGGTTGTTTGAGTCTCAATATAAACGCCTGGATCAGGACTGTAAGAATTTCGAGTTACGTTTCCCTTAAAGCAAACGTTACCCGCTTTGAAAACCTCCAACCTGAATCCGTAAACCTGGGGATCTGAGAAAATTAATCTTGAATGCTCAAAACGCTGAAGGCCACCAGCACTTAGTGAAAAACATTGCAGAAAAACACGTGAAAGCAAGGAGCTAAAGGCCAACCTTAAAGCTTTCCAAACTCTGGTTCCTCTCTGCCTTCTGCGTTCTTTCTATGAATCAGAACATTTCTCAAAAAGCATTATTCTTTTCAATTTGAGCTCATTATCAGTATGTTCACAAATTAGGATAGTTCACAAAAGTAACTTATTTAGAACATTTTTGATTAGCACTGCTATTCTGCATAGAAAAATAGGGCAATTCAGCAGAGCGACCTTGATTCAAAACATAGCGAAATCCCTGAAGACTTGGCAAAAGCTAATTCTATCACTTTCATCATCAACACTTTCACTTCTACTTAATATTTTATAACCTTTCCTGTTGAACCACACTGTCTTTTCATCTCTGCCCCGTCAATCCATCTTGTGCCAAAAAGACAAATCTATGTAGTCTTTAACGATGGGGGGAGACAAGGACCACCCAGTGGCGTAATTACCCCTCTGAGCTGGATATGCCACGCGATCAGATAAACAGAAAATGAATTGGCCCTGCTTCAGCTGACAAGTTGCTCTCATCGCTTCGCTTATCACTCAAAGAAGGCCGATTGCAATTGAGTAAGACCATTGATCCACTCACACGTTCGCATTTAAACACCGGCCACGTTGCAAGGGCCTCATCGATTTGCTCGATTGCATTTATATGCTGCACGCATCGCCGTATGAATCCATCTTATTGACACAACATTTGCAGGAATTCAGCTGCTTTCAAATGGTTAGCAGGTCATTAGCGGCTACAATTGAAGGCTGATGCTTCAGCTGTGACGGTGGAGTAAAGCACGGATCAATTGATGAGAATTGTTGAGGTATTGATTTAAACTTTAGAAACCTCTCAGTATTAACTTGAGCGCTGTGGTTTGAACTAACAGGACTTTTTGGACTTAAAAGAAAAGACGTTGATGAGATAATTTACTAATTAAAGGCAGAGCATTCGGTGAAATAAATTCGTAGATCTGCAGGCTGTGGAGTCATTTTGAACCAGATTGGCTCTGAAAGTTAATCAGTTACTGTATAGACGTTATAGTCTTTACCTTTAGAATTAGTCCTGTTTCTTTTTAAAGATGTTTTGCTAACAGACAAAAACAAACAGAGCCAAAACACTATCAGGAAGGACAATATTAAGGGGGGTTTGAAAGAAAATGGTTGAACTCAAAAATAAAAACCAGCACACCGTGATGGGATTTTTTTTTCACCATTTGTTCTATTTTTCAAAGGGTAGATTTAACGCAGCCGATCCAACAATATATCCTCTACACACTCCTGCTTGTCAACTTTACACTCACAAATCACCAGGGAGGACTGACTGTAGCGAATCCTCTGAAGGTCTTTTTGTTTGACTGGGAAGCCTTGAACAGAACAACCGTACAGGTATTTCGACGGGGGTGTCACGGAAAGGACAGTGACGCTTTGATGATGTGCTTTTATTGTGAAGGGAAAATAGACTTACTGCACTGGTGGCCCTGGACCACGACGTCTTTGATGGCCAGCAAGCCACGCTGCCCCGAGGTTATGGCTTCAAACACGATCTGAGGAGGAGAAAGGAGACTCGTAACACCGGTGATGAACGGGGCTCGTGTCTTTAAAAGGCACCTGAGTGCGGCCGGGGTGCGCGTCCGGCTCTCGCTGACACTTTCTGCTCCTTGGCGGGGCTGCAGCTGGTGACACAGCTGCAGGCCACTGACGTTATTTCCACAATATGTCACAGCTGACAGGTGTTATGACATGCAAGTGTTAAATTAGGTTTGAGCCCTGAGATGATTAGCACACAGCTTGTGATAAAGTATGGGAGGCAAAGACAAAAGGTCAAGTAAGTTGATTTTTTTTATATAATCTTGTAATTTTTGTTGCTTGTGAATTAAATATTGACTTTAAATAAAAACTGTGACAATAACATGACGTTACATCAGATTTAGCAAAATCCAAAACAAACTTATTAAAGATTTTACATTGTAACAACTGTTACTATTATAAGTAACAATTTGTTGCAAAGTAGTCCACTAAAAGCTTTAAAAGCATTATTTCTATTTTAAATAAAAAATACCTCATGTAGTCTTTCATCTTTAAGCTCGGAGTCTGGAGTTATTTAGCTGTCAGGCTCCCTGCTCCCCATTAAAGATAATATTTTAAAACAAAAGTGCAACTGTGCTGTGCACGACTTACTTTGACCCTGTTTTAAGGGCCAAGTTCAGCTGCAAAACAAATGGTCCTGCGCTCTGAGAGAGGGCGCGTCCTCCCAGAATGTCAGAGTTATGCACTCCTCGGTCTGCAGCGTGATAAAAAAGGAAACAGAATGCCAGTCCCTTCCCAAACCCAGGGTGTGGCGCCGGGACCAATTACAGCACGCACGCTACTGCAACACATGTTTTACATGCCATTATTTTCAAAACGCGAACCTGTAGCGTCCATCGTCCCGTATATATTAATGGTTATGACTAAATTAGAGTTCACACACAAACATATGTCCTGCTGGAGCCACAGATTCTCTTTGCAGCTCAGGAATGTTAAGGCAGAGATAGTTGCCATTGTCATCCGGGAGGCAGGATGTCTTCAGATATCTAATTATAAATTTCTATTTTTTTTTGCTCCCATGAAATATGAAAGTGAAGGCTTGTGTGCCAATTATGGCCTCATTAAGGGCTAATTTGAAGGAAATTAAAAGGCCAACCACTCTATATTGCCACCAGACAAATGAACTGGCCCCCACACTCTAATTGAAATCCTTTGTTTGTGCAACAGACATCAGTCAGCCCGCCTAATAGCTGTGATATAATTGATTCCAACATCAATAATAGTGCAGTGCATAATTGGGCCTGACCCACACTGAAAATATTCACATGGGGGCAAAGCTGTTGGTGTCGCAGGAAAGTTCATGCTTCTCATTTGTCAGCGAGCCGGATAGTAAAGCCAGAGTTTAGTGTCTACATCACTGCACTGACTGTCGCTTTGGGACGACATTACAGGAGGATTGATTAGTTCAGTCATGAGATGAAGTTGATGTAGATCTGCTTATTTTATGGGCACGGCATGTTCTGAATAATATCTGCATAATAGAATCGAATCCCATAAAATGTCTCTTTTTTTTACAAAATGCTCAGCAGTTTTGAAATTGTATGACAATCTATATTAAAAGTCCAAGGGATAGCTTGACAGAGGAGTAATTATCATAAGCACAAAAGGCTGGAATGATGCCTAAAAACCTTACCAGTAATTAAAAAATAATTTACATGTATCAGGTGGCTTCCCTTTGACAATTTCCTAGGTTGCTATGCAATTAAAGATACCTATAATTAGTGCCGTGTTGTTAATTAGCAACAATTTTAAGCATTGGTGTCCTTTCCTGACAGATTGTTGCTAAGATCATTAGCATCCTCACATTTACCCATGATGTCAATTTGGGTGTGCAACAATTACAAATGAAAGCAGATCTTCCACTTGGGGTTTGAAAGGCAGCAGATGTTGCAGATTCTCACCAACACCCCAGGCAAACGCAGCCTGTTATATTGGATCTACAAACAACTTGACCTACATGTGTACAGATTTGCTAAAACATAATGCAGCTAACTTGTGGAAAACTTTGGTTTGTCAAATTGAAATGGTGAACTGAGGTCTAAATACCTGCCGTGAGCATGAGAAAAACAACTTAGATCATCCTTAAGGTATCTCACAGGGCTGAGACTGATGGAGACTGGTTGAAACTCAAAACTGCAAGAAAACTGTGGGAAAATAAAAAATTAATTGACAGCAGTTGGAGCCCCGCTGAATACTGTGTTTGCATCCAAGCCATGTGTCCTCATTTTGAAAATAATTTAAAAATCCTGGCTGATTTTGGTGAGTAATTTGTGCAAAACTGTATTTTAGGCCACTGACATTATTTTGTTGAACATCTATACCAGGGCTATTCAACTGAACTGCTCCAGGGGCCACAGCTACTGCAGATCAACAGCTCAGGGGCCGAACATCCAGCAATTGAAGTTATTATGTAAATAAATCAAGTATTACAAAGATCTGTTACCTTTGAAATACAGTAGTTCATTTTTAATCACAAATACAACACACAGAACCCTATAAAAGTAGTGATAATTAAACAAAAAGAACACATTATGCCTCATATTTGACACAAATATTATTTTGACATCTCTGACTTGCCAAAATTTTAAACTAATTTCATTTTCACTTTCATAGTTTCATATTCAACTGCTTGTAATTTTAACTCTTGGGTGTTCATAGAAATGGTTTTTACCAGATTGTAGCCAAGATTCTGATGTTTTTGTACATAGCAAACATGTCTATGTTTAACTAAGAGTAACTTAGAGTACTTACAGTAGTCTTAAGAGATAAATGAACCAATTGGTCAGCCAAACTTTGGTCACTCGCGGGCTGGATGTGGCCTGTGGGCTGCCAGTTGAATAACCCTGATCTACTGTATATCCACACTGTACCCCTTTCATACATGTCAACCCCTTTTGGACATTTACCTGTATCTTGACCCTCAGAAAACTAATTTTAAAAAAACTCCATAAAGCTCACAATTCAAGGGGAAGGAGGACTGTTTTGGTTCGGAGCGGACGAATGGACAGTCAGCGGTGGAGAAAGAACAATAATGCAACACTTTCTCACTCGTTTCAACTCGTTACATATTGATGCTTGGTCAGGTACCAACTGCGTTTAGTTTTGACCTGTCGGGTACCCCACATAGGGGTCTTTGGGTTGGGGTCCGTGGTTAGGGATCAGGATTAATCGTTAATTATAGGCACTGAGGTCAGGGATTGGATGTCTAGGGTTAATAGAAGTTCAATTTAGGGTCTGGGACGGTTAGTTGTCGTGCATGTCCTACTCCTTTCAAAAATATGACAACGTGCTCCTCCTCCTCTGTCTCATCTCTTCAATAACTGATGTGAGGAGGGTACCCAACGTGTCAAAACTGGACGCAGACGGTACCTGACCAAGCGCCAATATGTGACGAGCTGGGAGTGAGAATGGGTTGCAATATGAGGGCAGAGATAAAGGTATCTGCAGCGGCAGAGGAGAAGCAAGGGAAGGCCGAAGAGGTGGCCAAATTATTTCCTTACAGCCTGCCGGATCTGAGACGTAAATAAATTTGAAGGAACATTTTGGCAAAAGACTGCCCTATACGCAACCCATTCTCACTCCCAAGTCGTCAACAAATTGACGCTTGGTCAGGTAGCCGTCTGCGTCCAGCTTCGGACACGTCGGGTATCCCCCTACCATCAGTTCTTTACGAGATGAGGTGGAGGAGAACGAGTGCGTTGTCATATTTTTTTAGAGTAGGAAATGCGCAAAACTAGCCATCCCAGACCCTAAATTTAACTTCTGATAGCCATATACAGCCTATCCCTGACCTCAGTACCTAAAATTAACCGTTAATCCTGATCCCTCATATTAACCACAGACCCCCAACCCAAAGACCCCTAAGTGGCGCAACCCGGAAAAGCCGCGGGCGGCAAGGACTGAAGCGCGGGGGTACCTGACACGTCAAAACTGGACGCAGATGGTCCCTGACCAAGCGTCAATATGTTGATGAGTCGAGAGTGAGAACGTGTTACTATACGTCTTTATACCTGCAAAATGGGGTGTAATTTACGAACAATCCGTACAACTTGACATGTATACCATTTTGTACCCATCTCATTGAGTTACCATCACATTTATGGTTTAATCTGCTGAGAAATAAATGAAAATAATCAGTTTTTGGCCAGTTTCTTCATCATTAGTTATCCTCAACATGGACTTTCATGGCTGTAGTAACGGACTCAGACTGAAGAAGTCTCTTGGAAGAGAGACGAAACGTTTCATTAAAGAAGAACCCGTCCAGAGGACATATACAATTTTTTTCCTTTTGATTTTTTACCTGGATTACTGAGATGCATCAGGACGTAGTAAAGGATGTTTTCTTTCATATGAAAGCTCCACAAAGTGGCTCTAAATAAAAAAAACTGAACTGAGTTAAATTTGCATTTGAGACATCTGCAAAAACGGTGACGACTTTGAGAGAAAAGTTTGTGCATCTAATCAAAATTTAAGCTGCAAACCTCTCCAACTAATGTCCCTCACAAACACTGTTTCCCAATGAGTCACTAACCACAGCAGCCCAGTGAGATTCTGGCTTTACCCACATACATCTGCATGGATGTACTCTTTTGGTTTTAACCCATCTGAAGCAACCTGAAACCTCTAATCATGGCTTTACTCAACAACACAAGGTCACCATCCTGTCAACACCTAATGTTTACCATTACTCTTACCTTCCTCTTCTTTTCCTGTTTGGTTCAAGGAACTCTTATTAAACCTTCTGCACTACATTCAGCTGACAGAAGCCCAGCGGTATCCCTTGTTAACTAAGTTATCAGAGCAGCTATGATGAGCGAGCAGGACAACTCGCCTCAGCTCCAACGTGGACCAGCTCTGCCAGGCCTTAATGAAATAATATACTTGGGGGGGACCTGCTCCCATTGGGAGGTTGAGGGGTCTCTCTGCATCAATTAACATTTGGTGGACTGGTGGAACAAGCCCGTCCAAGACTAATAGGCAGGCAAGTGTGAAATCACCTTGCCCCAGCCAGCAGTCATGTGCATTGGTAAGTGAAAATGAGTTTTCAGGATTGGAAAAGGAGAAGTGGCTCAGATTGAAGGGAGTGAGAACAGATCGCCATGGATACGGAGGCAGCCGCAGAAATCAATAGTAGGTGTTTTGAATGGGCTTTTGTGCCATTGTTTAGAGCTTCTCAAATAATAATTTTGTCTTGTTCCAGCCGCTGAAAGGGCTTTAATGACTTCAGATCAACTATAAAGGCTGTTTCCAATGAGCGGCCTGTTTCTTTAGAGATGTCTTAGAGAAAAGGGGAACTTAACTGGGCCAGTCTTTGTCTCACCTGGTAGAAGTTGGGCCAATAGGTGCTGATGGCCAGCTCAACCTGGCCCCAGGAGCGCGAGGCTGGGCCCGACACGTTCCAAACCGGCATCCCCATGGGACTGTTGTTCTCCTTGATGTAAACGTTCAGGTGGCCCGGGTGGCTGTTGTCCCTTCCTCCGATGTAGTAATGGAAGATGACGCAGTGCGTGTCGTTCTCCTTCAGCTGAGGCGTCAGCAGTAAGGCCTTCTGCCCCGCGAAGCGTCCGGATGTGTTCACCATCACAAACCCTGTCCCTGTGACGAGAGGGGAAAACAAGGTCGGGTTACGAGTTGAGCAGCTTTCACTCGGATAGCTACACAGCAAAAAAAAATGCCAGTGTTAGTTTCAACACCAAAGTGTCTATATGTGTCCACACTTGCTGGTGTTAAAATAACATTTGTGAAAGTGTTAAATTTTAACACCCATTTTTTTGTTAATTTAACACCAACCAGTGTTTAATATTCAACATTACAGGGTGTGACATTAATATTTCAACAGTGTTAAAATAAAGTGTTACAAGTAACACCGGTGTGTTATTATTAACAAAGGAAATTACGGTGTTTAAAAGGTTAACAGACACCACAAGGTGTCAATACACCATTTGAGACTGTAAATTTAACACTCAGAGTTAATATCAAACTCTTTGTACTCAGTAGTTAGTAGAAATGTATAATGGAGTCACCCTTCACACACCAGGACATACCTCTCACTCATGGTGTCAATTTTTGGCCAATAACATAAACTCAAAGTTGAACAACTTGATCAAATTGAACAAAAAAACTAACTAGAACAACTAATTTTTACTCTCATGAATGCCTTTAATGGTCATAAACATGCAAAAACATCATTTCTGCAAGATTTCTCAGCAAGGAATGCTGGGTAAATCCTGGTCTGTCTGACATGAGGTGGAAGAGGGCGGGGCTTTTCTGAATACTGCTTTCAACACTGCATGGTGTTATATACCAACACTGTTAAGTGTTATATAAGACTTCACAGTGGGCGGAGCTTATTTAACACTGTCCAGTGTTGAGACAACACTGAAGAAATCAACACTGTGAATTAACGTCAACACTGGGTGTTATTTTACTCAGAAAGTGTTAAAATAACACTAGGTGGTGTTAAATCAACACCCAAAAGTTTAACACTTAAATTTTAACACTCCCGTTTTTGCTGATTTTTAGTAACGTGCTGTTTTACACGGATCCCCTTCTGATGGAAAGCATGGAAAATACAGGATTCATAAGCCCAGCAAGGAGATCCTTTGGTTAAGCAGTAAACAAATAAAAACCTAATCTTTTTAAAGTACAAAGGCAGAAATAAATGCTTCTTCTGTGAGCGTTCCTATTACAAATCATAATTTCAGCATGTGACCTTTGATGAGACAGGCCTATTATCTGCGCTGATTGAAACTATCTCATCGTTGCCATTTATCAAACACAAAGACATGTGGTACAGTTGAGAGGCTAATCATAGAAAATAGTGGATTCCTGAAAAGAGCATTCTCCCCTAAATGACAAAGAGAAAAGAAAGGATGAGAAATCAATAAGCTAAAATCTATTTGCCAAGAAAGCCTCATTTAGATTTTATCGTTTAGGTTCCATATTAAAGGTTAATCTAATCCTCCATCCATTTTTCCCAATAAAACACAAGTGAGAATTATTATGTTGGCCAACTTTCAAGAGGATGCAGAACACATTCTATTTGTCATCATCTTATTTAGCTTGGCTTGGTAATGAGATGGCACAAACCATAAGAGCATTTGAAACGCAGCCACAGGAGACTCGTTATAAGTTGAAATGCTTTTTATTTTTTGTAGTATGCTAAAGATAGAAGGGCACAGAAAGGTGAGACAAACAACCTGTAAGCAAGGAGCTTACGCTGCTGCTTGTAAAGCAAGAGCCGGAGTCCTGTTTTACAGTTTAATGTGCTGCTTTGCTCAGATTTCATCCTGAAAATGAGCGAATATCATCAACTGGATCAGCAGGCTTTTCGTCGCAGAGTGTGTCAACCAAACAGCCTCTCAAAGAAGCCCCATTTGTTCCATCAATGACTCGAGCTTGCCCACTTGTCTTGTCGTGCTGCTCTCGCGACGCTCCCCAATTCCATCTGTCTGGAGCTTCAGATAATGAGTAGGGGATTCTGTCATGTTTACACAATGAAACAAGAGGAGAGGGAGCAGAGGAGGAGGAGGAGCGACACGAAATGACACAGAGTCGGCCTAATCGGCTTTGTTTGTCAGGTACAGACAGTTGTCGTTTTCAATGATCCTCACAGCTTTCAGGTCACCAAGAGGATCACAAATAATGAAGAGGAATGGGATGTACATCACACATGTAACATGGCTTTTACTGTGTTATTATGTGTATGGTATGAGTGCCGTATTATGATTAATTACTGTGGACAGCACATTCATGTTCTCCCAGTTTTTAATATTTTATTCCATCTGTGTGCATCTTATTCACATGTTAATTATTTCTGAGGCGAAGCATGAAGTCGTGTATAAAACACGGCAGAGGGCGGCAGACGAGTCGACTCTGCGAGACGCACTCAAACCAACTTTAACCAGGTAGCTCTCCACGAGGGCTCCGAGGGCTCTAATACCATCTGCACAAACATTTCTTTTGTTTTGTTTTTTTTTTTCCCTGTGAGGCATCAGCAGCCCTTGATGTGATGCGAACCAGCACTAATAATCACTTGATGAATTGTTCAGCTGTAGCTCGTGTTACAAAGACAAAGACGCTGGCAACCACTGCTTTCCTCCAAGATTAAAAACGGGCTGTTTAAAATTCACTCCAGCCGTCGTTTTATGACAATGTTGCTTAGGAGATTTATGCACAGCACGGCTTTTTGTTGGTAATTAGAGATGAAAATATCAGATCCCTCAAGCCGCATTTGTTCTTTTATAGTACTGGGTTCATGAAATATTAATAAAACAAACAAAAGGTACAAATGTGTAGGAAGCAAATTCTTGTTAATACTACTTGATGCGGACGCCATCAATTTGAAATGACTTCTTAAAACAGCTAATGTAAATAGAAATGTTCTTCTTTGGCGCTTGAGAAGTTTTCTCTGCTGAGTGGATGTAAATTCCTGTCAGCAAATTTGATCCCGACAAATTAACTTGATTTGAGTCAGTGAATCAAAACACAACAAGACAGAAGAAAGTTCTCCCCTCATCCTTGACCTCCAGAAAAGGAAACAGAACTTTGAGTGACAGCCAGCCCCCCCACCCCCTAAACTGTGCTGCAGTGTCACAAACAGTGAAGACGGGGGTGCATAGATTGTCATAAAGCCTAATGACCTCATGCCATACGAGACCTGCCGCCCCACGACAAGCTAATTAACCAGTGAGGCTAAGAGGAAATTATAATGACCCGGTGTTAGCGCTGTGCTAATGTGCTAGCGTGTTTTCTTTTCCTCTCCCTCTATCTCCTGCGCCTCAACAGCGGCGCGTTCGAGACCAATTAAAAATGGAGAGCTCTCGGCGCACACCCAGCCCGTCGACCGCGGCTCCTTAAAGGCCAGGGTTTGGCTGCTGTCTGAGGTATTATTCAGAGGAGCAGATTTATTATTGTGCCAATGTAGGCCACCTTCACCTTCCATTACAATGATGGCTGAATGTGGAGAACATGGGAACGGGTGTGAAAAATGAATGAGTGGAAGATAAAGTGCCCCCCCTCCTCTGCTCCTGACACCACGTGCATTCACTCCTGTTGTTCTTTGCAAATGAAGACCCCCACTGCTAAAAAAGAAATGTGTGGACTTTCATTACGCTGGGATATTTTAGACAATGTTCACAAAGATGTTGTAGCTGAAGGAGCACCATGCATCAGGTATATATATATATATTCTAACACTAATTCTGTGAAAATTTGTTCGCATTAAGCAAAATAAAATGCTCCAGATTTGGCTGCAGCTTGAAGAGTCTGACCATTCGTTTCAGCGTATTTATATCTACTTCTTTTTTTTAAATTAATCACAGAAGCAGTTCCTTTTAAAGGGGAGGTGTTGTGTACTTTCAAGGCACATAGTTCATTTCTATACCACAATAAATAGCACTTAAGTTGTTATGAAAATGCTGCATATATAAAAAATAAATTTGACTTGAAATGCTTTGAAATTGGCCTCCATCCCTTTAAGAACCTCCTACCATTTCAGATGCTCCCACTTCAGCATGTCTTCATAACAATGCTTCATGCTGTTTACACCCTTCATAGGAAACATATTTTATTGTAAAAAAAGAAGCAACAATATCACTTTTTGGAACATGGTAACTCAGGATACAGTCGAAGCTTACTCAAATGATCCCACGTTGGATGTTTTCCGAAGAACCGGAGCGAGTACAGAGACAAGACGTTTCAGCTTGGCAATATATTTCCCAGTAAGGGCGTAACTTTGTGCTGAAAGTTGGTGGGGACGCACCGTGGGGGACGGGGTCTGACGCACCCACAGTTGTGCGACCAGGGTTTTCTGTTGTTCATGTCTTCAGTGTGTTCTCAGTTTAACTGTCTGCACTCGTCGATAACTGAACACCAGAGGTGCCCAAAGTGGGGCCCGTGGGACAAATTTGGCCCGCCAAGCCATTTGATTTGGCCCACTAGCAGTTATCCTGATTACTAGATTGTAATCTCCTGTTTTCTGTAGAAATACTATTTGCACTTTGTCTTTTCAAACATTGGTCCAACTATAGATACAAGGAGCTCTAGTCAGATAAACTTAACTCATGGTGCTCACTTCATCTTTGAACTATGTTAAGATTAAACTTAAACTACAAGTAACGTCAAAAGACATTTATGTTAGATTTAAGTGCATTTCTAGATTTGCACACCTTATAAGACCCCATATACTCAAATTTTAAATTATGAAAAGTCCCAAGAGCCTTTGCTGCCCGAGCAAAAGTTAAATTTTCTCCACGTCCATGGGCTGGGAAAAAAAAAAAAAAAAAAAAAAAAAAAAAAAATGTGGGCAACCGCACTGGCTGCAGCTTAATCATAAAAAATACAACTTTCCTTGCTACAACTCTCCCCCAGAAAATTTTGAATTAATTAGAAGCTATTTCCTGATTTCTAATGTATTTTAACAGGTTGTTAAAGATAATTTTACCTACCTAAACAAACACCTGATTTAATGACTGGAGACAGATTCTTCATTAAACTAGTTGCATCGTCCTGTTTTTAAATTCAGTTATGACTCAGATAATTAAATTAATGTGATAATTTATCTCAAACAAGCTTAGAGGAAGTTTTTACATTAA